TATTTCAAGTAATAGCATTTTGGTGATGAAAGCAAACTTCATTCCTGCAATTGAATGTGCATAAAAGTTATAACAGTTTCAAAAATGACTTCTATATTATATGAAATTGAATAATGAAATTGGGAGAAAGTTCACCAAACACCTGCAATAAGAGTATCTGAGACAGAGGCATAATCCATGTTTATCAAATAAATAGTTTGCTTTTTGTTAAAGCATCCGCCTTGGATTCAAGGGTATGAAATATGCAATTGCATAGAATCGCCAAACAGAGAGAAGTGTGCACTTAAGAGAAAATAAAATCCAAGCCTGGTTTCTCTTGGGACTTCTATTTCCTGTGGTCAGTCATACGAATAATGCATTCTAACTGTACTAAAGGGATCAGGAAGCCATGAAAATGATTAATGCTCTTGGTCTGCCCAAAGGGAAGGTACCTCTGCTTTGAGCAGAGAGTTTCATAGTCACTGACAATAGCATTTTTTTTCAAATGTAATAAAATTTTCTTCTTGTTTCTGTTGCATCCCAAAATTGAAACACTTTTTAAAGAACTGAACAAAAAGTAAATATCATGTAATAGTATGATGTGTAGCTCTACCCATAAAATCACCAGTTACTGTAGATAACTAGATAAATCTCAAAAGATGAGTAAAAGTTGTGGCACCACCTTATTTGTGCTAGAGTGACCCAAGACATTTTCTTCCAACTCTGTTCTATGGAATTGGAAGATAACGAAGCAGGAAATGCCTTACCGAGTCAAATACTGGCATGTTTCTGTATTATTCAGTGTGACATTTATTCTTCAGAAACGAACAATCCTCTGACTTCTGATTTTAACACAACAGTGGATTATTTCTCACTCATGCTGTGTCTTCTCTGGGTTGACAGGAATCTTCCCTGAACATACCCAGGGACTCATCTCAACACAGGGCATAGGACATACAGAGAACATGATCTCATGCTTGTCCTTCTGTACCTGGGGCAGGAGGCGGCACTTGTCACTTCCTCTCAGAAGCTTTCACTTGACCCCGACCGCATGCCAGGGTCTGGCAAAGTGTGATCTCAATGTGCCTGCAAGGAAAGAAGTGTGCAACTTTGATGAGCCCACAGAGAGGCACTCATGATTCACTCACTCATTGTGCCTCAAGCAGGAAGTATCTTAGTGTGTTTCCCTACACTACTTTTGATTGTAAGTGAAGAATATGAGCCCTGGAGTCAGGCAGACTAGTTTAAATCCTTTCTGAGTTCCTTATGATCTATGTGGTCAAGCTATTTAACATTAGGAAGTCTGTTATTCCCCATCTATCAAAAGAGACTTGTGATATTTATGAATTAGCAGAGCCATGGTGTACAGTAAGTACTGAGTAAAGGGCTGTTCTGGTTAAAGGAATATAGGAACATAGAGGCGGTAGTAAACCTGGAGGGTGTAGCATGAGAACATTTTTATTGTATGAGTTTCTTGGGGCTACCATAACAAATCACCACACATGGGTGGGCTTAAAGCAAGAGACATTTATTTTCTCAGTTTTGGAGGCCAGTTGTTCAAAATCAAGGTGTCAGCAGGGCTGTGTTGCCTATGAAGGCTCAAGGGAAGAATCTTTACTTACCTCTGCAGGTGCTGATGGCTCCAGACATTCCTTGGCTTATAGATGCAGAATCCCAATTGCTGCCTCCATCTTCTCATGGCCTTGAACTGTGTGTCTTTCTCCTCTTTTATCTCTTCTGAGAACACTTATCATTGGATTTAGGTGATCTCATCTGAAGGACCTTTAACTTAATTACATGTGCAAAAGCTCTTCTTCCAATAAGTAACCATTCATAGGTTCTAAGAAGTTGAGGTAGACATACATGTCGGGGGAAGTGGCACCATGTAACCCACTGCAAATGTGAAAGCATTTTCTACCCCTCATCAGATGGCACTTACTGATTGCACATACTGTACAGTTTTATAAATGTGGATATTAGGATTACATTTCTGTTTTAAGTGTTAAACTTTGTAGTTAGGTGTTACTTAAACAGTGCTACATCTTTCTGATGTAAGAAAAAATCACACTGGACTGAACCTGTAGTGTTATCATTTCATGTATCAGTTCTATCTGTAGCTCTCTAGCTCTCATCATTGCAAAACCATTTTCCAGTTGGCTAAAATGAATTGGTTCAGGTGCAAGATACACTGTATAAGCTACATATCTCTTAAGGGACTACTTTTGTATTCTTTTATATCAATCATGGCTTTTCTGAACACTGATTTGTACCAGAATTTCCCTTCTCCCTGTAAAGGTATTCATAAGCCATCTGTAAGGTACAGATTAAAAGTCTAAAATCTACTTGCTGTTGTGAAACCAATGAGCTATTCATAGAAGCTACTTGATCAGAGTAAAAGGTTTAGTGAAGTAAGTGTAGAAAATCTGTCTGAAAATGATACCTGTCAGTAATTGGCATCTAGATTTCTCATTGATTATTGACATATATAAAAGAAGTATGGAGGACATGTTTGCATATATAATGAAAGAGTTATTTATATTTAGAAATTTTTAATTCATTTATATATTTAATGAGTCATTCAAAACAGATCTCTGTTGCCTACATAGGTGCACTGTGTACAGTGTCTTTGGCATGTCATGCATATGAGCAACTCTTTCTACCTGGGTCATGTCATAAGATGTATTTGAAGAATGGGAATTTGGGAACTGTATATTCAGTTGGTGGTAAAGTGTTAGAAATTTTTAATCACTATTTAAACTAATAACCAAGTGAAAGGAACTGGTCATATGATATGTCTAGAAGAAGGTATAGGTTTATTTTATCTTCTTTATAATGGAAAAGGAGAAAGTTATTTCTTTACTAGACTACATTAAAAGTCTACATGAAACGACAGACTGGAGCTTTAAAATAACGAAACTTAGGAAGGATTGCATGTATGTAGAAGCTGTTGTAAGGAATAAGTATAATGGTCTGGGTTTTGTAAAAACTGAGCTATTCTCTGAAAATTACCAAGCAATGTCCATTTATAACAGGATAATACCTGTAAATTGAAAGACGTATATACCAAGTGGATTCAAGTTAAGATGGTATCAGAATAGGATCCCTTTTCTCAGTAAAAAATTAGAGAATGTGCCGTGAGCCCCCATTATTACCCTAATGTGCCTTGTGTCTTCTGGTCTAGGATCCTTCCATTTCTAACCAATGCATTATATGTATGTATTCTCTTTTTTACAGTTCAGCAGAAGAGCAGTTTCACTGGCAATCACAAGGTAAAATACAGTTTTTTGATGAATACTTACATGTAGTTCTATTGATTAAATTTCTTGTGAACTTTAGAAAAAGACTTATACAAATGAGTATGACAACACTGTGGTGCTAAAATTAAATAAAGCTGTTGTGACAGCTTACAATTTCATGACAGTGAAGTTCTCTCAATTCCCTAGTAACTTTTATGTTCTTCATGAATATATGGAATTAACTGGCCTTGGCTTTTAATACTGGTTAATCAAAGATTCCTCTGTGATAGCTAATGAGAACTTCATGGAAGTAATATCTTAGGATACTTGTCATTATTAAATGATATAGCCCAAAGCTTTAATACTAACATTACCATGTGTTTGCTAATCACTTTAAAATATTGTATTTCAGATGGTCAAAAAGACATCGAAGATGAACTTACAACAGGTCTTGAGCTGGTGGACTCCTGTATTAGATCACTGCAGGAATCAGGAATACTTGACCCACAGGATTATTCAACAAGTGACAGTAAGTTGCATGACAGTTATGCTTGAAGATAATTTAAAATATAAGAACATTATTCCATTCTTTTTTCTAATATAATTAACATCATGAGCCATATCTGAAAGGACAAATATTTAAGCTTGTTTTACCCATTTCACTCTACTCTCATTTATTTACTTCCCCATTACCCACCCCCAACTTAAATTAGATTATAAACTCTTTCTGAAGTCAGTAGTTGGCATCTAAATTTCTCAACAATTACTGACAGTGAATCTCTCCACCATTTCTCTGGTATCCTTTCTAGTATCTAGACTAGGATGTTGTATGAGCTCATCATATATTTGTTTAATCAACACACATCTGCTTTAAGATTCACTGCCAGTGATATACTCATACAGATTGTTGTTGTTAGAGATCTTAAACAGTACAGCAATTATATAACAAAATAGAAAAACATTGATACAATATATGCATCCCATTTAGTACAGGGCTATAGCACTATGCAATAACTCCTTACATATCTGTATTTAACTGTCTTAATTGCTATAATATTCTCAACAGAATATTTAAAAATTTATTTTTCTCTGCTTAATTATGGGTTTTACAACCTGAAATGGCTGAAGCTTAGAAATGAAAGTGCTAAGTTGAAATAAGTCTCATTTAATAAATCATAAAATTCTCGACTTACATTAATAAAATCCCACAAAAAGCTAAAAATTAAATCATTAAAACATATATCACCATGATAATTTCTACATCAGAAATCAGTGGAGCATTTTATTCCTTAATTTGAAAAAATAAAAGTCCTTTGAATACCCAGAAAGATTTGCTATATAAAAAGAAACCATAAGAATAATATAACATACTGATCTTAAAACCATTTAATTTACATATTAGTTCATTTTTTCTATAATCTTTATAATACTACTCTTAGGATAACATCATCATGAATATCCCAATTTATTTAAACCCACATTCATCCCCTCCTTAAAACTTTGAATATAAAATGGTTGATTTGTATTATCCTTGTTTTCTGTATTTTATATTTTAAAATGTAGGATTGTTACCTCTTCTCTATCAGAGTCAATAACTATGTCTCTCTGATGGGGTAGTCATAGTTAGAATTATAGTTAATCAATATTTGAAATACATGTACTTTCTTTATTTGGGAGTCAGGAAAGCATAGATAAAATTGTGTATCTTGTGGGGGGGTAATTTTCGATATCTCATTTTTCATACAATATTAGAGAAACATATTTGGTTGTGAGTTTAGGAGAGGAGATAACCTTTAATACATGGGAAGTGCAGAAAAAGAGATGGATGAGTAAATGAGAAGCAAACAAATTAACATAGAGGGGATACGTGTATCAATCTAGCACTACAGGTAAGCATGCTGAGTTCTTAGAGAATAAAAATTCAAGTTTGCAATAAACAAAGACAAAATAGTCATGCAGTATTTATTAGAGACACACATATTAATTTTAAAAATGTTAAAACTAAATGAACAAAGAAGTGACAGTAAAGTAATGAACACAGAGTGGGACTGGAAAGACTAATGTGAGGTGAGGTGGAATTTAATGCAAAAGCATTAAGCACAGTATCGAAGAAATCATGCAGTGAAAGTGTCTCATAAAGATGCAGTAAACTCATATTAAAATCTTGTGAACAAGTATGCACCAAACCACACAGCATCTGAATATAAAAAAAAATTATTGAAAGTGAGAGTAGATGAAAAATATTATGAGCATTTCAATGTACATTTCTAAGAATGAGACAGAATCCTAGGAAAAAAAGCCACAGAGAGTTGGAGTAAGTAATTAACAGTCCTTGTATTAAATAAGCTTTAAAAGTTCAATCCATTGAAGGATAATATATATGTCCAAGGAAAATTTTAAAACCTCATCAGCTGCTAGATAGTAAAGACAATCCTGAAAATTAGAAAAAATGGGAAGGCCATATTCTTTGATAAATCCAAGAAAATTAAAAGTAAATGATAAAGTGATAAACAAAACTGTATTCACATTAAAATCAAGAAACTCCATGAAAATGGAAGCAAGAAAGCAAATCTTTTTTTAAAAAACTGCTTAAAAATCAAATAAAATGGCTACATTTTATAACAAAAACATAGGAGTATGGGAAAAAAACTACATTCAGAGTAAATCTTAACTTTATTATTAAAAACAAAGGACAAAAAAATATACGCATTTTTGGGAAACCTTAAAAAGAGTTAAACAAACTAAAATGAACTAGGAAGATGGGAATAATAAAAGCAATGCAGAGATACTGTAAAATAAAATAGTAGAAGAAATAAATAAATACTAGAAGAGAAATAAATTAAATAATAGAGTGGATAAATATATGAACTCTCTTTTACCCTTAAAGTCAACTAGTAATGTTGACCTTTCTTAATTGAGACACTCTGCTACGTACTAGAGACACGGAAAGAATTTCTAGTGTTTACTTTTGTTTTTCTGCCAAAATGTGCTAAAAAATAACCTACAAAAAAAGGTATCTTTATTGAAGGAATGTTAAATACTCCAGTAGGTTTTTGGGGGCGGGGGGTTGGCATGTATGTGTTAACTGCTGAATTTTTGTTTTTCAGAAAGATTAGGTACTTCAGTTATTATGTACCAAATTATCTTTTTAAAGACTCCTAGAATTTAGCTGATTGTTCCTTTTGTAAGGCTCTGCTTCCTTGTTTGGTAGGAAAAGAAATAAAGCAAAACAATCCCAGAAAAACAGACGATGAAAGCACCACCCCAGAGCTGTATCCCAAAGCGCTGGGACATCAATGAAATAAATGCAGAGTAGTATTATTCCTAAGAAACATTTTCAGTCACTTTGAGACTGAATTGAGTAAAATTTAGAAGACTAATTTAAAAATACTGAGTAGGTCACTACCATTTGGGGGACCAACTGTTGCTAATTAAATTGTTTGGAAGATCATGAAATGAAAATATCTGGACTGAAGAGAATATAATTGAGGGACTATTTACAAAAAGAGTGGGCAAGATCAAGGGAACATCCAGTGCCTGGGGAGGTACTGGGAGTAGGAACAGAAGAAGCCCTTCCCCGCCCTTGGCCCTGAAGGAGAACTCCAGGGATTAGTTAGCACCAGCAGTCAGGGTGGACCTAGAAGGGGTTATGTGAAGTGAAATAGGCCAGGCAGAAAGACAAATATCATATGTTTTCACTTATTTATGGAAATTAGAACAAAATGAGCAAAATAGCAGTAGACTCATAGACACTGAGAAGTGACTGGTGGTTACCATGGGGAAGAGGTTGGGGTGTGTGAGGAGGGTGAGCGGGATAAGGAGCTCAAGAATCTCAATCATAATATAAATTAGGCACAGGGACGGAAGTACAGCATAGGGAATATAGTCAATGATTCTGTAACATCTTTTCTGTGTTGACATAGTAACTGCACTAGTTAGGGTAAGAATTTAAAAATGTGGGTAACTGTTGAAACACTGTGTTGTGTACTAGAAACCAATATAAGAGTGTATGTCAACTACACTTCAATAAAAAGTAAAGACACTTGAGAAAAAAAAACCATGGTGGGAGCCGAGGAATAAATAAACCTAACCTCTCTTTCCTCCTACCTTCTGATGTCCTTCTGCCTGCCACTGGCCAAATCCAATCACAAACCAAAGGGCAAAGAACCCCTGTGATACAGTCCATGTGGCAAAAAGGGCAGAGAATAAATATGGGGAGCAAAGAGAATAATCAGCACAAAATTCTGCTCAATAGCAGAATAACACACCATGTTTATGTTCTTGATATGTAAACTTAACAAATAGGTATGTAGTAGCTCTTTGACACATTTCATATAATTAGCACAAGCCCATCAGATTCTGCTAACCCCTTGTGTTTCTGATCATTCAGTGGGTTCATTAGCTAGGACAGACATGAAATAGCAACCAGTCTTAGCCCCTGAGTGCATAATACTTAATTTGTTCTGTTTAACAGATTGTTATGCTTCTTCCCCAGGTCTGATTAAAATAAAATTTAAATCTTACTAACCCCATCTTCTCGACCCTAGGGCAAGGAGTAATTGCTCTGCTATACTGATAACAGCATCATACCATTATCAGTGTTTCCCAACACAGCATTTTTTAAAAAGTGCTATCCTAAACAGTATATAAATCACGTGTACAATCTGGGCTCTTCCTCCACTATAACATGACTGCCGGCTCTATAATTTCAATTCTAACAAATATGTGTCACAGAGTCACTAGGAGAATTACTATTGCTTTAATGGGAAAAAAACAAGTTAGAGACAGAACCATTAGCTTCTCACAAATTGTACAGCTTGACCTCATTTGCCCTGGACCAAATACATTATTTAATCTATGCATTCTTGGAGATATAAACTCAGAGATAAGGGTGATTCTATCTTAGCCAAAAATTAACAGAAATTTTTGTCAGTCAAAACCAAATATCAAATGGACAACTTGGGAGAAAATGACTTAAATGTTTATAGAGATTGTTCATTTGTTTAAATATTATATTTTGAAATAGTAATTACTTCTTTCTGTAGCACATTGACAGACTGAAATTCCACCATAATCTAGAAAACCATGTTCTAGAAAATGTTCAGTAGGAAGAAAATCTTAGGAGTTTATATTCCCCCAGAAGTTAAAGCTGCCACTGATCATGTAAGTCACCTCAATACCAACTGATGCAATCAAATATTAATATGCTAGGTTTTTATTGTATCACTGTAGGTACAGGTAGGTGTTACAGTCATTCATTTTTAAATGTATGTATTAAGTACTTAATGGCAACACAGAGAGTCTATGCCTTATGGCATTCACATTCTAGTCAGAAAAAGGTGAAATTCCACCAAGCTAAATAGTGTAAGTTCAGGTAGATAACTGCTATAATGACAAAGTCAGAAAGGGTAGCATTCTCAAAGTGTACCTCTGAACCCTAGGGGTCCCCAAAACCTTCTCAGGGGGTCTACAAAGGCAACAATTTTCACAATAATCATATGGCATTATTTGCCTTTCCAAACTTATTCT